GTTTGTCTCCTCTGTTACTGGCTGTGCCGCCCATCACTTCATCTCTGCAGTTATACCTCTCCAAATTTGATTTATCCTTTCCACTTAATTATTTGAAAAGTAGCCTAGTTTCTCACAGTCTTGCGTGTTTATTTTAAAAGATATAGTTTGTCTGTTGTCTTTTTTCAGATTTCTACCCATTTCTTGTGTACTCATTTCACCTTCTTTATTATTTTTGTTCTGCTTTACTGTTCCTCCTCATTTTTTGAGTCATTAGGCAAAGATGGTCCAAACAGCTGTGCTCCAGAGTTATATCTGCTGAGGGGGAAATAGTGTGATGCTACATTAAAAAAGCATTGGTGTGTCCTTTTTTTCTTTCTTTGTAGGGCATTGATGAAGGACCAGAAGGATTGAAGCTCATCTCTGATATCATTCGGGAAAAAATGGGCATTGATATCAGCATCCTAATGGGGGCCAACATTGCCAATGAAGTGGCGGCCGAGAAGTTCTGCGAGAGCACCATTGGTGAGTGAAAAATGTTTGGAGCTATTCTGTAGGTAGCGTTGCACTTTAGCAACTACATGCTAAAAATCACCAGGAGCTAACTCAACAGACATTTTCTTCGATCCACAGGCAGCAAGGTGTTGGAGAACGGCCTCTTGTTTAAAGAGCTCCTGCAGACGCCTAACTTCAGAATCACCGTGGTGGATGATGCTGACACAGTAGAGCTCTGTGGAGCCCTCAAGGTAAATATCAGTCTTGTCTTGTTGCTCATCCCGGGGGAAATATCTTGATTCAGGCACCTGAGATGCAGGGCTTCAGGGGCACGACTCGGACCTCTGTGTAAAGAAGAGCTTGCGCTGCTGAATTTACAATTAGATGCTGTAAGGCTGCTGTTCTCCTCGTAAACACATTGTAAAAATCGTTGCAATATTGGCAAGCTTTGACAAATACTCTGGGTTATTTACAACTTAAAGGGATAGTTCATCTGAAACTGAAAATTCTGTCTTCATTCATTCACACTCATGTCGTTCTAAATCTGTATGGCTTTCTTTCCTCTTTGGAACACAAAAGAGGAACTTTGAGTTTTTTTTCCCATTGGTTTTATTTTTGTCCATACAATAGAAATCAATGGTAACCAAAACCTTCGAAACTTCATCTTTTGTGTTCCGTAGAAAAAAGAAAAAGTCATACAGGTTTGAAACAACATGAAAGTGAGTAAATGATGACAGAATTTTCATTCAAAACTGATGTTGTTCCAAGCCCGTGTGTAATATAAAAGAAGAAATGTTGAATAAAGAATGAACTGACAATTATTTTTCCTCATATAATGAATGTGAATTTGGGCTGTCGACCATTACAATATGCAAAGTAGTCTATATGAGTCTTCTGAAGCCTTATGATAGCTTAGTTTGATAAATAGACCCAAATTTAAGTTATTATTCACGTATAATCTTCCTCTTTGCTGGAAATGTGGCATTGTGCATTAGCTGTTGTTTAAATCTTAAAATTGTATGAACTGTTGGTTATTTGTTGCCAACAAAGGAGTTCTGAATATACACACATTCATTATATATTTTGAAAATATTTACATGTATATACATTTATATATTTATATTTACATATTATATATTTACGTATCTAATACTAGAATGTGGGATTTGTGTTTTAGTCTCACTTCCTTATTTCGCCCTGTTTTAGAACATTGTTGCAGTGGGCGCAGGCTTCTGTGATGGTCTGCAGTGTGGAGACAACACCAAAGCAGCTGTCATTCGGCTGGGATTGATGGAGATGATCGCCTTCGCCAAACTCTTCAGCAAAGACGATTCTGTATCTTCCGCCACATTCCTCGAGAGCTGTGGCGTGGCTGACCTCATCACCACCTGCTACGGAGGACGAAACCGGCGCGTGGCAGAGGCTTTTGCCAAGACAGGGAAGGTAAAAAGAAAACCGATTTATTTCAGCCTTTCATCACTTGCCTGATGCCATGTAATGTATGTTTTATGGTTTGAAGGAAGGAAGACATTGAGCATTAGGCACATTTGCTGATGCAGAAAAGATCAATACAGATTTCTTTTTCTTTCAGAGCATCGAGGAACTGGAGAAGGAGATGTTAAATGGACAAAAGCTTCAGGGACCATTGACTTCTGCTGAGGTCTATCATATCCACAAACAGAAGGACCTAGTGGATAAGTATGTGTAAACGTTTTTTGGTTGTTAGAAGTTATAAATAACACAGTCATAATTATATATTATTAAACCTATATTTATAATAGCCTTTATGTCGGTTGACATGTTCCTGACATGATGCTTATGTAGGTGACAGGTTTGAGTCCCAAAACCACCCACCTCTCTCTCTCTCTCGTATTTGGTCAAAGAACTTGGATTTGCTGAAGGAGTGTAGTGATTATTTGTAACATAAATATGGTACAAATTAGTGTGCAATAATTTTTTTTAAGTTATAAAAACACAAATCCCACATTTTAGTATTAGATAGACTACCATTCAAAAGTTTTGGGTTGGTAAGATTTTTTAAAATGTTTTTTAAACAGAAATTAAATAAATTTAAAAAATGTGCAATTGTTCAATTGTTCAATTCAGTAGATTTTCAAAATGATAAAAATGATTTTAATTATTGGTTAATGCTATTTGCCATCACAGGATCTACCTTAAAAAATCAATAGAACACTCATTTTTGGAAAGTGCTTGATTCATTGCACCATTCTTCATTTAGCAGAGTGTTTTATTCAGAGTGACTTTTCTTCTGCAGTGCCAGTCCACCTGGAGCAACCTCGGGGCTAAATGACTTGCTGTAGGGCACAGTGTTCTTTGTCTATATGCATTTGCAAAATTGGTGACATCTTGAATCTACATTATTCTCCAGGTTCCCCCTGTTCACGGCTGTTTATCAGATCTGTTTCGAGGGCAAGCCAGTTCAGGACATGATCACCTGCCTGCAGAGCCATCCAGAGCACCTGTGAGAGTCCAACATTGTCCCCCTTCTCCACCATCATCCCCTATGGTCTGTTAGGTTGTCCTACCTCTAACATTTCTCATTTTCTTCATTTTTTTATATATCTTTATATACTCATACAATATTCTTTTTTAAGCTTCTTTTTTGTCCCAGGTCCAGTTCTACACTAATGGTTAGACTTGAACTCAGGGGTTTGTTTCTGACCTTGCAGGTTTTATTGTTATCAAACATGACAATGAACTCAGAGATTTTTCAGAAAAGCCATTTGTTGTTATCTACTCTGTGTGAACAGTTATGGAGTTTTTAACTATTTTCTCTCTGTCTGACTGCCCTTTTGTGGATGGTCCACAATATCACCTCACTGACAGATGAGATGAAATGCCTCTTTATAAATTACTATAGAGATCTCTTCATAGAGGCTCACTACACGTACATATTGAGAGCAACACGACACGACTAGAATGCCTCTGTTACAGTCTTTAATATCCTGTAGAACCAGCATGATACCAGTTTTTTGATACTTTCACATATTGTTCGACACAGGCATAAGCTAGGTTTAAAACTAAGCATACAATTCAAATTGCTTAGTTTCTTATTAATAAATAATGAAACTGCCATTTACACCGAACGTTTTGGCACATGTTAGATGAAGATAGATTTCTGTGAAGATGCCTTTTAACTCCTCACAGGTCAATGAATACTTGAATGGACTCGCTATGGGTTTGAGGTTGTTTTTGTTTTGAGGGGAGATTTTGTTTTGTTTTAAAGGACAATATATTCTAAAAAGGGGGCTCAAATCTGTCATCTCAATTTCCCAGCAACCCCCTTTTAAGACTAAGTGCTTACAAGACAGTGGGAACATGAAAACCTGTTCCAGAATGACATAGTTGACTATACGTTTTATCACGTTACATTAAAAACAATACAATGTTACATATCTAAGCTTCAACAATGCATTGAAATCCTCTTAGAAACCCCCAATTATTGATGCCCTATGTAGTAACTGTTTTAGCATCCTGAAAAGCTGATCAACTACCACATCTACAGTTCCTGTTTTAATAATTCACATTTATATGAAGATTGGCATTAAAATACTAATGTAATCTTTAGTTGTACTAAGCAAAGAATGAAGGAATGATTTAGTAAGATCTGTAGTGTTCACATGAGGGAGAGTGTTACGGGAGCAGCTAGTGTTCGGATCCATAATGGCCTTCTTTTTTAGCACTATACTGTGCTTACAGATGTGACGTATTATTCCTGTGTTGTTTTTATTCTTTTCAGTGTTTATGTAAGAGTTAAATTCATACTACAAGTATTCACAGCTGTGGAAATCTTGCCGTGTACCGAGTCTAACACTCCAGTGGATTAACTATATATGTATCCATGTTGATGAACCAGTCCTGTTTTTTCTCCTCTGAGAATGTGATCATTTTTGCAAGTTGTATGTTCTAACAAGTGTTATCAAGGCTGAATGTTGAAACAAATGCTGCTTTTTAAAATAACCTATAAAATAATCTCTGTGCTAAATGTTTGTTCCGTTAATGTATTTATATTGGATTAAATATGAAGCAATATTGTAACGGCAACATGTTAATATCTTAATGTAGCATAAGATAGTCCCATGTTAGGTGTAGCACACAAGTAATGCAGATGAACTGAAAACTCCATTAAAACAGTGGTTCTTGAAACTTATGGGATGACAGAATAAATTGTGGTCAGTTAATGTACCTATAGCAATACTCCCAGTTTCTAATATATATATACTATAATATATATTATATACAGTTCTGTTATTATATAGGGTCCTTCAAATATATTTTGGATAGTGGGGCAGCTTTTAAATCAAAAAGGTTGAGAACTACAACATATAAAGGAAGTTATATGTTCATATCAATGTATTTCTACGTGCCAATTAATGTTGGTTGTATTTAGTCCTTCCTTCTTAAAGTGTAATTTTACTCAACCTGATAATGCTGATAAAGTACCCTATTTAGATTTTTAATGACATTCCTTCCTGAATAAAAACACATGATTTATATTCAAAACACTTTTTCAGAATTGATCAGTTGCAGCACAAGATAAATGATGGTTACAAACATTTTATTCCAGAATGCAAGTTGTTTACTTTCCTCAAAATGTGACACAATGTATAATAAAATACAACTCCAAAAGTCCCAGAATCAGGGAATTTGAGTGTCAAAACCTAAAACAACAATAAAAAAGGGAAACTGCACAGCTCCTTTATAGAAGCCATATATGAACATCCTGTTTGAAATCTCCCAACAGGACAGTTTCATTTCTATGAAACACTTAAGAACCTCTTTGAAATAAACTTCTATGTTCTGTATTCTATCATATTTGCATTTCTGATTGACCCAGGTGTTTTTGTTTCTCTTGTTGTCCATACATTTATCATCACAGTCTTTAAAAAGTGTCATTAATGACAATTATGATATTGCAAAAGACATCTCATATTGTTACTTCCTACCTGCTATTAACAATGCTCCAGAGGCTCATAATGACTCACGTGTTTTACAAAATATTATCATAACAAATAAACTGCATGAGTTGGACCATTCTCACAAACATCTATTTTACACACACAAATATATTTATAAAACAGCAGATTGGTCTTTGCAAGAACCAGTCCAAGAGACAACCTGACTCAAAGAGATGCTTGTCTCCCTGCCAAACTAGTCTTCCTCCTCATCATCATCACCAAAAGACAGCAGGCTGTTGTTCTTCACCTTCACACCAGCTTTTGACTCTTTAGTCTCACCATCCTCACTTCTCTTCTTCTTGCTAGAGCTGGCAGTAATGCCTTCGAATTTATCAGAGGAGCGTTTGACAGGCTTCTTAAAGACGATCTTTCCATCTGGTGGAGGCTGTTCATCTGGAGAAAATGAAAGCATTTACTTTAAAGAAGTCAGATATATTCAGAAGTCAAATAGTATATATTATACATAATTATAATATAGAAATAGGGATATAAAACACTAGTTCAAACTGTCAGCGTAGTCTATACTACACAATAAGAACATACTCTTATTTCATAAATTTTAAGAACAGCCACGTAGCAATTTAAATACAAAAAGATCAGAAAGCTTGCATAATTTTCATTGCTACACCGGTACTGTACCAAGCCCCTCATCAACCACATTCAATCTGAGCAAGTCACCAACTCCGAAAGGATCGTGGAGGACCAACATAATTTAATTAATTAAATGAATATTTAATATACTTCATTAAATATTGCATAAATAAAGATTAAGTAAATACATGTTTAGTTTAAATACCTAAATATTTTGTCATTAAAAATGAAAACGTTGGGCGTCCCGAGTTCGAGTCCGGCTCGTGGACCTTTCCTGATCACACCCCCCTCTCTCTCTCACCCACTTCGCTTCCTGTCGACCTACTGTCCTATCTAAATAAAAAGGCATACAACGCCAAAAATAAATCTTAAAAAAAAACTTTTATTATGAATAACATTTTAATGCGAATACTGTACCAATATTTATAATATATTCATTTAAGTACTAATAATACATTATGACATTTTTAAAATAATACATATTGTGTTTTATTCATGGAATGTTAAATGTTCACCTTTATTATTCCTCTATGTAATTTTATTGAGATAATTGCTGCATTTGGAGTATTTTGGTCCACCATCACATATGGGTCGATAAGAATTTACTCAGAGCTCAGAAATCCATAAAAGGTTTGGTTTAATCACTATTTTTGTTATCTTTGTGAACAACGCATCTACTGTGCATTACCTTTGTTCGAGTCCTCTGTATCTTTTTTGATTTTCATAACGTCTTCGGCACTCAAATCTCCCTTTTTTAAAACCACGACCTGCGGCATCTCGTCCTCCCGATCACTGTCAGCACTGTCATCATCAAACTGCGGCATCTGCTGCTTCTGCAACAGCAACATTTACTTACCATTCCATTTCCTACACTAAAAATAAATGCGATAATTGTTGTGTCTGAAAACCTAGTGAGCTGCTTACACAGACAACATTTTGGAGACATGCATTCAAGGTAGCACTATTTTTACGTTGGCATCTGATGTTTTGAGGCATGATCAATGAATGTAACTAAAAACACGTACTTTAGTCTCCACCGTAGGCCCTTCTTTAAAACCAACGTCATTCTTGAATTTCTTCAAAAAAGATGGTTCGGCTGGCTTCACCCATGATACATTACCCTTTTTACTCATTGTGTTTCAGTTCAGATAGGCCTGATAAACCTTAAATGCGCTTAATGTTTCACAAACACTAAACACACAGGAACCAGGCGTGTAAAGTTTGCGTTCATGCAACCTCATCAATACGCGTCTGTAAACGACCAATCAGCGCTTTCTGTGATTCTTACATTGGGAGCTAAATTTATTTGCTGATAACTTTCCAGCGACACATTACAATTTATTTCCTCAAGAGGCGCTTGCTGGCTCAGAAAGCCGAATTCTCAATTGAGCCATGTTCATATCACAGTGCTTTTTGCCTTATTAGAGACATTTGTACAGTAACACGTATAAAAATTAAATGTATCGATTTTAATGGTTATATAAATTGAAATAAAAATGGACAAAATTATTTTTAAATAAATATTATGCTGTAATCACAAATGACAGTGATTGGTCCATTATGAAAAGCGTTGAGAAAAGTAACACTTCTCACATCAAGTCTACAAATTCTTCAGCAATGGTCCAGATAATAATTTTCACCTAAAGAATTACACCTCATCTTTAAAAAGCAATTAAACTGAAAATGCATGGAAATTATTTAAAATACAACATTCTTATTTAAACCTACAACGCAAAGTCCCGCCCATTTAATGACTACCGTTTCACGAGGATGTTGCTCTACCTGTTTGATTTATTTCTGTGATGCACAGTAGGAAGTTTCATTATCATCTTATGTCTTAAAATGTAAAATATAGAGATAAAATAATACTGCTATCACAAGTGACACCTCCAAGTGACGGACAGAGCTGGAATTATGTTGCCTGGCGTGTTTTATGCGTTAATGGCGGGGTTTCTAGCAGCTTTAGCATCATCTTCTGCTAAGTTGTCCCTGGGTGCTGATTACCTGAAAGATGTGTGTGAAACAGGGCTGAAGATCTGGACAGATGGACAGGAAAACACTGATGGAGTTGATACCACAACTTGTGACTGGGTAAGAAGTGTTCTATACAGTATATGCATATATGTTTAAATGAACACAATGTCATTGTAATGTTGTCATTGATCACAAAAATTGGTTAAAACTAGTTATTTAATGATTTATTATTGTCTCTTTTTCAGGCTTTCCTTGGACATGTGATCTTTGGCGAAACTCATGCCACGCTGTGGTGGGTTGGTATCATTTTGACCCTGACGGGTCTTCTTGTCTTGCATGGATCAACTCCTCAGGCTCCACAGGAAAATGCGAATAAGAAGTATGAGTGACAGAAGAATACAGGGATCAACAATGCCTTACCCAATGCTTGAAGTGAAATCAATCAAGTGAAATGGTGTGAAGAAGCACTAGGAGCTAATAAGAATTATTTATGCACACTTGTATGATAGAATTATCTATGCTAAATGTATATATTTTTTCTGTCATAGGATTGTTTTATAAAACCTCTGTAGTTAATTTATTTTTATGCATCAGTGTCAATAATGTGAGCAATTACATAATGCATAACCTTGAAATGTGTGTGACTTTGAGCCTATAGTCACGCAAAGGCCTTGCTCTATATCTTGCATCAATCATGCAAGTTCCTGCATACTTTAACCATCAAGGGAATATCATGCAAGTGTATAATAAATGAGTTTATATTCTTGTTTATTACTATGACATGAAATGTTTACGATATACATTTTTGCTGGATATTTGACCAAATGCAGCTGTGGATCTCAAAAAGAAATTTTGTTTCACCTCTTATCTTTCTCCGAGATAAACTTTTTCAATTCCATGTCTTCCAAAGTAAAACTTGAACTCACACTTCATTCAGAACAATGTAGTGAACGGGATGCACACACTGATAGTGGTTAAATGTTTTTGCTTATTAAATGTCTATTGTGTGTGAAAGCACTGACCCGGACTCTATTTTAGAGGGAAACCCAACCACAAAAGCAGCATCTGTTGAGCACAGCAGGACATTATCATGTATTTTACTCAGAAATCACATTTCAAAGTTGACCTGGTATTATGTGGGAGTATAATAGCCCACCTGCAACCATACACTTTTATTCAAACAACAATGGACACACAAAAAAAGCACATTTATTTGAGGAAGCTTAAATTGAAGTTGTGCAGCCATGGGAAACATCAGGTAATGGAAAGAAAAGAAATCCAGAACATAACAAATAACAATAATGAAGCCTGTAATGGAAAGATGCACAGTTAGAGAATATTTGTAAAAGGTCATAAATACAATAAAAAGACAGACATGGCATAGAACAATAAAATCGTGATATATCAATCAAATCCTGGGATGGTACAGTAAGTCTCACATGCATTTTTGCTAATTATGGAAAAGGCTCGACAGGTCTACAAATGAGCACCATATGTTTATATTGTCAAATCCTGCACCTGAATTTGTATATTTATTGCTTTGCAGCCATTTCATAGTGTGTTTCAATTTCAGGCCATGTAGGATACATTAAGGCATTTCAGACATTAGTTATACAGTTCACAGTTTTTATATATAATATATATATACACAAACACACACTGATTCATCTTGATAGTGTGCTATAAGAAAGAATTCACTTACAGTCAGTCACTTAATATTTTTTAATATTCTAGGTCAGGTCAAACATGTAGATACACCAAACTAAATGACATCCCTGCTCAAGAAACAGCTGGCATTATGAAGTACACGTTATGTCAGTCTGTTAGGAGCTCAGTCTCTCTATGCACAGTATAAGTTTCTCTTTAGAAGAGCAAGATGTATTTTTGGTTTTAAAAACTGTTTTAAGGCACTTTGGTACAGTATATAAATGTGTTTTTTTTTTTTATTATTATTATTCAAATGTCCACAGTAGTCTCTTTGCGAGTCCAAGGCAGGAAATGTGCCATTTGAGTCTCAGAGTTTAAGCAACAAACACATTTTGATCTAATGAGGTTCCAAAGGAATCTCAATCACATCCTCCTCAATGATCTCTCCCTGTGGGAACGTGGGAACAGGATCCGAAGTATCTTTCTGGCAGGAGAGATCTGTGAAAGGGCTCAACCAGGCCATAGAAAGAGGCCCTCCGAACGCTGACTTCATAGCTTCCCAGGATGGAGTCTTCTCCCATGTAGGGTCTTCACACTTCAACTTTTCAATGCCCTGAACAAAGAAAAATAACACCTCTGTGATTCTTGAAAGAGATAATATAATCCATAAATAAATGGAAAACAACATCCATATTGGCAAAAACAAAAGAAAGAGGAAAAGACAACTTAAATTCCACACATTGAACTGAAAAGGAAAGCAAATGGTTACTATGGTAAAAAAGGCACAGGAAGCGATTAATTTTTCTCATGCACCTGCGTGCTGCTGGTGTTTAATCTTTAATAGAAACTGGAAGAAATGGTTCGACTTTCACTTTATGGCACAAATTAAAAACACATGAAGCATGCAGCATGCCTTCACAAAAATAGACCATTTTAAATAGCATGCATTGTGTCAAATGAACGAATGTGTCTTTATACCGGTAGCAATCAAAGCTTACCTCCATCTCAGACCAATCAAACAGGGACATCAGCCTAATTTAATACTAAATATAATTAGTTGCTTTTTCATCAATTTTAATTCCCCAAAAAAACAAAAAACAAAGATTGGATATTTCTGAGCAAAGGAACTACTCCTAAAACAACATAAAAAAATATATATAAAAAAGGAGGAAACTAGGTTAGTGTTAAAGACAGACAGGAAGTGGACAGGAAGATAGAGGCCAAGCAAATTTGAACACATTTGGATCTCTTGAGAAATTGCAACAGAGTGATTTTGCAATGCGAATGGTATTTCAGATGCTGATTTTCATGTCATCCCTATTTTAGACTTTTCAGAAGCAGAGATGGATTCAAATGTGGTTGCGCACTTAGGAAATCCACTGTCAGACACTTTAACACATTGTCACATACTAATGACCGAGTGTTCAGGTTTTTAATTTACCATTTGTCAAAGAAGAACAGAATGACTGTCTTTTTCATACACACTTAAAAGTTCAAGCACATATCATCCGTTCATCATAACAAAAATATACATTAATAAAATGTAAAATGCAATTAACCAAAACAATGGCAACAATGGTAAATCAATTAAGTGGTCGAGAACACACAACTTTCTTAAGCCTGTTCCTTTCTTAAACATTTCTGCAAACCAGCTTTATGGAAACATACCATGTGAATCAGCTCTAAAAAAAATACAGATTGTGTTTCGAGTATAGGAAGTACAGTAAATCTGATAGGGAAGCTGAGTAACATAAGTACTGTTATCACTCAAAATCGTATGTATAACAGCAAATGTACCCATAATATCTCAAAACACATTTTATAAAGTCTTTATCATTTCAATGGAATTATTTTCAGTGTTAAGATTGAGGGGTGTAGAAATGATCTGACTGATTATGGAATTGAATAATAGATCAATTCTGTTGTGCAATACTTGTCAATGTAAAAACTAGTGTATCGCTTTGACAATATTCAACTACAGTAACTGTCCCTTTAGCTACATTTCTGTTAATTACCATTTTTAAAAAATAAAATAATCAAACCAAATTATGATTACATGCTATGACTGCATAATTTAGTACGGAATCATTTGAATCCAAGCTTTGTCAGAACATATTTATACCCCTGTTAAACATCCTATATTGTTTATATACTATTTTCTATACAGCCAAAGTCAATAATGTTAAGGCCTGTTCACACCAAGAATGATAAATATAAGGATAACTATAACTGTATGTCCTCAACAACGGTTCTGTTTTTTTAGAAGTGCTTATAAATGCTTGATCTCTTTAAAGTCTGGTTGGTTGTCACTGTTTTCAGTAATTCATGAGCTGGAAAAATTAGTTCGGAGAGTGATTCCAATGATATTGTTCCTCGGTGTCGTTATTGTTATAAAGTTGCTGTGCTGTGGACTTCACTATTTTCATAGAATTCGAATGATTTATAGTTATCGTTACAGTTATCGTCCTTGGTATAAATGACCTTTCAAACATTTATTTTATCTGTATAATAAATTTTATCTGCATAATAAACCATTTTAGCGAATGGTTGTCAGTCCTCTTATGTTGTTAACCAGGAAAGGGCAGGAGTACTATACTGTACCTAAGTATAAAGAATTAACAGAACATTTAAAAGTACCTTCAGAAAGTAGGTTATCATTGTGGACAGACTGGCAAGATTACAATAGTGATTATATTAGCATAAATTGGCTTCTATTATCTGCGCAACATTCATCTTCATTTCGGTGTAGCTAGGCAAAGATGCTTGAGATTATGGCATGAGAAAGCTTCCGCTTTCTGTTTTTAATTGAAATAAATAGAGGTAAGGATAATTGGATATGCAATGATTTGTCCCCTGAAAAAAAGAAGATGAAGGTGATTTCAGCTCACTGGCAAATGCTCCGCTCAAGTCGGGATTACAAACAAATTAAAAGACGCCGTTTTATAAGGTCAGTCCAAGTGCACTCGAGTCTCTAGCTTAAAGCTTGCTGAGCTCAGACCACATACTGGTAGGGGTCAGCTTTCCCGTGGTCGGGTGTGGAAAACGGGCTAAACCATGCTATCGAGAAGGGGTGTCCGAATACCGCCTTCATGTTCATCCATTTTGTTTTTTTAGCCCATCTTCTCTCTTCCTTTTTCAACTGCTCTATGCCCTAAAAACAAGAGATAACCGAGACTTCAGAGTGTGTGAATATTACAAAACAAAAGAGGAAAAGAACAACTGGCCCATTCCATAAACACTGAACTTTAACCATATCTTTGTCTTCGATAAGTTGATATAGTGTGATTTTCATAGTGAACAGTCATGCCAGTCATTAGTCCATTCAGTGCAGTATACACTGAATACTGCCCACTTATTTTTATAAAAAGATTGTGAAGCATAATGTATTATATAACGGTATGTATTCCAAACAGTAATATGCTACAATGAGATTTTAAACTGTTTGTCCAATATTATGTAAAAATGCCTTGACTCTCAATATTCCAAACAATTAAAGATTCAAGAAAGAAAGTTTTATTTCAGGTTTATTTATCACACTAGGAAAACAGGTCAAATTGAGCGCACTGCATTTCAGGATGATGGGTTGCATCCAGTATTCGATGTCTTATTTTCATTATATTTTTACCCGTTTTTTTTACATATACTTTTAAAATAAAATAAAAGTACCTTACTTGTTACTTTTTTCAAAATGAACGCATTGAATTGTCATACTGAACCCATTATGCACTACCATCAAATATCTGGGGTCAGTAAGATGTAATTTTTTTTGAAAGACTCACCAAGGTTGCATTTATTTGATCAAAAATACAATAAAACAGTAATATTGTGAAACAACAGTTTTCTGTTTCAATATATATTAAAAAGTAATTTATTCCTGGGATGCAAAGCTGAATTTTCAGAATCATTACTCCAGTCTTCTGTGTCACATGGTCCTTCAGAAATCATTCTAATATGCTGATTTGGTGCTCAAGAAAATTTCTTGTTATTATCAAAGTTTCAAAATGTTATTTTTTTTTTTTCAGGATTCTTTGATGAATAGCAAGTTCAAAAGAACAGCATTTATTTGAAATAGAAAGCCTTTGGAACATTATACATGTTTTTACTGTAACTTTTGATCAATTTCAATTTTAAAAAGTATCAGTTTCTTACTAACACCAGACTTTTGAACAATAGTGTACATACTGCAGAAGTAGTACAAGTAGTATGCCATTCCAAGCAGATAGACACCTGCAATTATCAAAGGCATCTAGTGGACACAGTACAGACACAAACACTACTGAAGTCCAACAAAGAGAATAAGTTTTAAATGATCTAGCTGCATTTATAGGCCAGGAATATGTGTGGATTGTGTTTTTCAGGTCAGTTGTTAGAAGAAAACAGACTATGTGTTATGCAAGTCTGTTGTCCAAAGCACTGGATCATTTGGACTCAAGTGTCAATATCATGTGTAATCATGTACAGGATATTCTAATAATAATAATAATAATGTGCCAAATAAGCAGTGTGGATGTACGCTAGTGTACTATTATTCAATACACAATGATCTTATACTTGTTGCATATGTGTAACATTTCACTTCAAGCACGATAGCATTTTTGGTAAAAGTGTCCACACGCATTAACCTAAAAATAACAATGCCTATCAGACCACAAGCACTACCTCGCCCACTGCTGAAAGGAAGCAATCTCTTACCGTCTCATCTGTGCAGATGGAATGGACCTGGGTGCCAAACATCACAGAGGTGAAGATGAGGAAAAGGAGGCCCTCAAAGCACAGGAGGATGAGGAGGATGACAGTGGCTGGAGGGGAGAAGGTACTGCACTCTGGGGTCAGGAGAGGAGAGGGAACACAATCAGCCTTAACACACATACAGCTATACAATATATTAACACAACTATAAAATCCCAGACTCATTCTGTCTGGGTATAATTACTTGTAACCAGAAGAAAAATAAAAGGGTTAAGAGAGTTTGTGGGTATGAATATCTAGCAGCAACACATCTGTATGTGCATGTGCAAACTGAAACACAACGTGTCGAAACACATCAGCACATTAAGAGGTTCGATTGTTTAGCCAAGCTTGGTTAGCAATATACCAGTGACCTGTTTGAAAACACCATTGGTAACACTGTTTTTTGATTGCTATTTACATGCTACGGTTCAAAAGTTGGGGTTCAGTAAGATTTATTTTTGTTTATGAAAGAAATCTCGTACTCAGCAAGACTGCATTTATTTGATCAAAAATACAATCAAACAGTTGACGGTACTCATTGACTTCTATAGTATGGGAAAAAATACTATGGAAGTCAATAGCTACCGTCAACTGTTTGGTTACCAACATTATTCAAAATATCTTCTTTTGTGTTCGACAGAAGAAAGAAACTCATACAGGTTTGAAACAACTTGAGAGTGACTAAAACCATTTACTTCCTTCGAAAAATCTTACTGTTCCCAAACTTTTGAATGGTAATGATGATGAAATTCATTCCAACATAGGCTTTTCTCTTCTAAATAACCTCCCAAAAGCACGCCAGCAGCAAACACAGGTTGAAAAACTAATGCCAGGCTGAATGCAATTTCATATAACAGTATCACTGGAGCTGTGGTAGGGAGATAAGAATGTCCTCCAAAAACTCGAGGCGCTCATCTGAACAATGCGTGTTTGAATCCAGCTCACAACATTTGCTTATGTACCACTTCCCCCTTACCTGTCCACTTTTTGTACTAATAAAACTGACATTATATGTGAACTCCATGCCTAAGAGGGTTAAGGCAGTGCTGGAAAATAATGGTGGCCAGTGGCCACACAAAATATTGACACTTTGGGCCCTATTTGGACATTTTCAATTCGGGGTGTACTCACTTTTGTGGCCAGCGGTTTAGACATTAATGGCTGTGTGTTGAGTTATTTTGAGGGGACAGCAAATTTACACTGTTATACAAGCTGTACACTCACTACTTTACATTGTAGCAAAGTGTCATTTCTTCAGTGTTGTCACATGAAAAGATATAATAAAATATTTACAAAAATGTGAGGGGTGTACTCACTTCTGTGAGATACTGTATATACTACTGTTTGTCCATCATAAAAAAAGTGCACAGCAGCAATTTCCTGTTCTCACACACATCAACTTCCACATGCACACAGAAAATGGTCTACTTTTATGATACTTTCATAGTGCTGTAGCATGCTTTTTAGAGATTAAAAAAAAAGTTATTTACATTATAATCAAATGGAAAAAATGGCCAGTGTATTCATTAGAATGTACTAGAAAGAAATAGACGTTTGGAACGAGGCTGAGGAAAATGACAGAATTTACATTTTTGGGTGAACTGTCACTTTAAGAAGTACTTATCTGTATTTGCAAAGGTTGAATGCTTTTTCCAGTAGATAACATTCTAAATTGCATGCTTGCCATCTGACCCTGACATCTAGGTTTACCCAAGGACAATGATGATCCATCTTCCGTATACAGCGCTTACAAACACTAAAATGAGTTTGAAAAGGGGAGTGGAGAAAAGAAAGAGATGAAAAAGTCACCTTAACACTTCAACTGAAAGACAGTAATCAAAACAATGGTTTGAAGATATGGTTTTCAAAAATATTCAGCTTCATGTCCTGGGGTTGGACAAAATAATGTGAACACCCATTATTATAATGGTTAATATAATTCGCATAGGCAACAATGAAAAAACAAATATTGTAATTATCTTTTTGTTGTCTACATTCTCTAGGATGTATATCAGTGTTGTATAAACTGTGTTCAGTACAATCCGTGTGTGAAATGGGTGATTTGTCAAATTTCCAAAAAGGACAAATCATGGGAGCCTGTTTAGCAGGAGCTTCTGTAACCTTAACAGCCCAATTGTTTGGTGTTTTATGCTATTGTCTGGTTTTCCACAGTCTTTATGATTATGATTGCATACATAAAGCATGACAACACGTCATAACGAAGAGGAATAATGGGAGAAAACCAAAAGTGAATAATAGGGACTGTCAAACACCAAGGAGGATTGTGTCCACACAGAACAACTGCCACAAAATGACAGCAAACCTCAATATTCACCTTGAAGACCCTGTTTCCACAAAACCGACTACAGAGAACTTCACAAAGCCAGCATCCATGCAAGAGCTGCAATCGCTAACATTTTAATCACAGGCACAAATGCTAAAATATGATGTCATGATCATAAAACCTGAACAGTTGGAACAAACGTCAACATCTACCCTGGCCAGCTCAGTCACCTGACTTGAATACTACCAAACCACTGTGGGCAGTTTTGGAGAGAAGAGGGCCAAGCAGATTCCTTCAACACTTCTGAAACAACTGGCAGATGATGACATTCCACTGGAGACTGTTCAGAAGTTGTATGAATCTGTATTGGAAGCTGTATTAAAGGCAGATGGTGGTAAAAGTCCTTAATAATGAAATATGGCCGATTTCCCAGGTGTTCACATTATTTTGTCCAACTGCTGTATATTCATCTAAAATTATCTCAATGCAGCAAAAAAGCAAAACAAAAAACATGGATGTTAATATGACCAAGATGAATAGTGCTGCTACCGTTACGCATCTATGTCTCCATATGCTCCTCTCTCACCTGCAGTGGTGAGCTCTATCCGGCTTAATACTGCAGCACTTGGGACATTTGTAAACCACCTGGCCAGGCTTCAGGTGCAGGCTCTCGATGTACTCCTTAGTGGCGTTTCCCTTTGGCACGGCTCCCTAAGAAAGCATCAGGCAACTTCAGCATCATTTTAATAGTAGTATGGGAAGCATTTATGACACCCTGCTGAAGATTTAGGGTACACTAGGGGGAAAAACAACACTACTAACATGCTACAGTGATGACATTTATGCCCGATATTTTTACACAAGTTTTGATACCTAATGAATTTAAATGAATGTCTATTTTATATCTAGGTTGTTGGTAAATAATTAATATTAATGGTGTTGCTAGAAGCTAAATTACAAGATTTTATCTTGGCTGTGAGCTCAGGGGGCAATTATAACACTAGTTATTGATTACAAATTATATGACTTAACTGAATCTTTAACATGAATAATGTTATTTATTAACATACTATTAAAATACTATGAACTTAAATATATATTATTATTATTATTCTTTGTAAAATACATTAAGTTATAGTTTAAATATAGTTTATAAGTGTTATAATTCCCCTCATGAATTAGCAGAATCCCCTTGTAATGGGGGAAATTGTCTCCCATACCCACCAGGCACCCTGAAAGAATTTATTATTTGGGTAAAAAACCCACCGGGTCGGTGCACATGGCTCTGAAATGAGACGCCAGGGCGAGGAAGGCCAGGCTGTTGAAGAGGGTGCCATTCACCAGGCTGTAGGTGAGGCTCTTCGATGGAATCAGCATGACGAACAGCACGACGACCTCGGCAAAGACGACGAGAAGCCAGGTGATGATCGCACAAACGATGCCACAGGCATCTCTGATGAACCACATGTTGTTCTGTCTCTCATGACAGGGAGGAAGACACTGTGTGGGCTGCAGGCCACTGGCCTGCCTCTCAACGTCCCTGAAACGCGGCACTGGACTTCTCATCCTACCACAGAGATGCCATCCTGTCAGTGGCAATGGAAAAAAGAGACAAAGATGGATAAATCTACCTAATTTCATCACTAAAGTCTGTTTTTTTTTTAGTTCACAAACCACACAAAACAAGATGGTGAGCAGAAAGAAGTATATATTTGTTTAGACAGTGGTTCTCAACCAAGTAGTCTCAGAAAACAACTGTCATTTTTATTTAAGAACCAGGATTCCCACAGTCTTGGAAAACCAGGATATACAAGGGAATTTTAAAAATGTGACTTCTAGACCTGGAAAAGTAATGGAAATTAATAAAATACTAAAAGGTTATGGGCATTTTTATAATATATTTTTTTCTAGCTATGTCAAGCTCTAGTACCAATAATTTTAAATTATTATTTAATTTTATAATTAAAAACCCTGTAATTAAAAATTACTAGAAAAATCATGGAAATAAATTAGTGTAAAAGTGTAAACCCTGGAGGCCTTGGAGTCAAGAATGTTGAGAACTGGTTTAGGAGACACAGAAGGTCATATTTAGTGGACACAGCAGTATGGAAGCTGCGGTCTGACAGATACAGACACAGTCACTTGAGAAGAACCAACAATGTCACTAGAGGACACACTGTAGGTCCAGTGTTTTTTTTTCTTCCCCCTTTATGGTCCACAAATCAATACATCCAACTTTTATGCCAACTGATGACATTCCTATCTACTTGGGTCCATAATGAGCCAGTCATGCATTATTCAAGAGTGCCTGACATTATTTAACAGTAGCATTATGCGTTTCAAAATATGTAAAGAAAATCAACTTCACCAAACAGCCCAAAATCTGGTTTATAAAGTCAAAGCATCAAAAACGGGACATAATAACACAGTGGCGTAAATTACGTCTTGACTGTGCCAAGATACTATCAATAACACATAAAACATCCAAGTGCACTGTTTATCATATTATTAAATCTCATGAAATAGAAAGGGTATAGCATAATAGCGATTTTGACTGAATAACACTGAATTTAGTAAGCCAGCTGTGTATAGAAACCTGCGCTTACCTGACCATGGCGATACTCACATATTTGGCGACACTGGTGCTCCTCGCGTTTGCTCGCCCACTCAAGGCCGAGAAGATCCGATAATGCATGGACCACGCTAACAGGGGAGCATGTTCGAGATTAGTGTTTTAACAAAAATTGTGGTTTACCCGATTATTGCACGAGGGCTGGTGAAATGCTGCATTTTTGTACGGTGGCAGCTCCTCCCTTCACTGGAGAAACTGATAGCCACACCTCCTTTCACTAGAGGCGCAACCGGATCACGATCCGAAATGGAAACCAGTTCTAGAAAATGAGTCTTTGGATTGCTAGGCGTTGCCTGGGAGACTGAAACTTGAGGTCTTTTATTTGGGGGAGCTTGGAGGCTCAGAGAGCCCATTGTCCGTATTGAAATCTCAGATTGATTTTATTCTATTGGATATATTTTGTAGTATTAAAAAAACATAATCATTTAAACCTGTTACTTCATGAAAATTTTAATCTGGTACACAAATGAATGTCAGCGCGATCGCGTCTTGTAAAATGACTTTTATTAAATATAGCCCTTCCAGTAATCACAAACGAATGTGATTGGTTCGTCCCCCCAGCGCAGAGAAAAGTACTCACGAACCTCGTGATATCGATGTCTGCCTGGCACTTTCTGGACACTGAGAAACTTTAATAGTGATTGTTTTCAAAAAGACCAAAAAAAACAACAACAAAAAATACCTTGAAAAGTGATTGTAGGGAACTATTATTAAGTTATCGATTATTGTTGTTTGCCATTCAAGCTCCTTTTTTCTATGTATTAAATTGACTGAGAAAGTAAAATTGTGATTTGTGGCGTTGATAATGCTTTGCTCTATTTTGGTGAAACCTAAACAGAGCCAGAAGTGTCTTGAAAAAAAAATCGCTCTTCAATTCCTTGCAGTATGATTTTTATTTCCAAACATACATACAAGTAATATAAATATAATAAAATAGATATAAATAAATAAAGGGGTTGAGTACTATTTAATCCATTACTTAAATATAGTTTTTGTTTGTTTTTTTTAGCAAAAAAAGTACATTTTAGCACGGACTTTTATTGTGTGGTATGGCTGAAAATGTAAGCGTCCCTTAAAATTTGCGCAAAAGAACATGTGGGTTGCCAAGGTGCAAACCACGTTGTTAAACAAAATTATATTGTTTGACAAAACCTTACAGATCATTTTATTTAATTTTATTTCAAATGGTAATTTTATTATATATTTATATTTTACATTATCGGAAAGAACAGCTCATACAAAATGATTCTGGTTAATGATTCTTGTTGCATATATCACTGGCCTATGGGGCACAAATACAGAACCAGTATGAACAGGTGTGTTTTTTGTTGTTATGTTTTGTGTTGTTGTTTTTTTGTTTTGTTTTTCCTGTCTTTATCTGGCACCAAAATTATTTACTCGTTTTAACCCAGGAAAATTATTTTATGCGGACAACCTGGCAACCCATACACTCCAGTTCCCTGTTGGTGTGAGGTGGTACAATGAAGGAACGATGGCTGCCTGCATCAGAGTAATATGGATGAGAATGACCACCTTGACAGCCGCTATTCATAATGGGTCTGCTCTCCTGAACGCTTTCTTTGCCAAAACACACTAATTTCCCTGTTTCGTCCCATCTGTAGAGACCAAGTGTTGTGTTTGCATCAGTCTTCTTGCTAGCTCCGCGCTATGTTTCTACCCACATCAACTCTCTTTAATTGACCTGACCGGTGAGTAGCTAGATGGATATTTACCGTTTCATAACGCAAATACGCATACAAGCTCTGTGAATGTAAATTAAAGCGAAGTAAGTTAACCTCATTAGGCAAACTAGATGTTTAGTTAGCTGGCTTTGCTTGTACTTAGCTAACATTAGCAATTGCTATTGTTAGTACATTTGCTTCCTTGATTGTTGCTGGTAAAGGTCAATATGGCAAACTGGGTGAAGCAAAAAAAAAGATTATATAAATGTATGGATCATATTAAACCTCGGAACAGAACATTTGCAAATTATGCAAATAACATTAGTGTCCAAGGACTTTGCATGGATTCCTTCAGTACCTTCAAATAATCTACATGCCTGAATTGCTGACGTAGCTTGTCTTAATTTTTTTTTAGGTTTGATGTGTTTCTGTTTTGAAATTATGAATTAATGCACACCCTTTTCCCCTCTATTCTTTCTCTCTTTAGATATCACTCATAACATGGCCATCACACAGTTTCGCCTTTTTAAAATATGCACCTGCTTGGCATCTATTCTGTCATTCTTGAAAAGACTGATTTGTAGGTGAGTACAAAACTCTTTTGTTCAATTTCGTGCATATTCAGTTTGTAGATTGTCAGTCTGAAGTCTGTTGACATAGGTGGATCCGGAGATGAATTTGTGTCCCTTACAGATGTGATGCTGAGTTTCGTCTGTTGTCTTTTGTTAATGTAGGGCTGGAAGGTCACGCAAGCTAAGCGGGGATCAGATCACCCTTCCGACCACAGTTGATTATTCCTCTGCATCAAAACAGGTTAGAGAATGCATCGTGCTGGAGACTCCGTCATGAATATTTGCCATGGTGATTGGTTGAGAAATGGGTCATAAGAAAAATATTTTGCATAGAGAAAGTAAACTTTTTAGGGCAATTTCATATAATACTTTTTCAAAATAAAAATATATTGTTACACAGCATTATGTTTTAAATCAATTCTGTTCCTTTGAACTTATTATTTATCAAAGAATACTGACAAAATTATGTATTACAGTTTCCACAAAAATAAGAAGAAATAATAAGCAACAGGATCATGTGACTGGAGTAATGGCTGATGAACATTTAGTTTTGCCATCACAGGAATAAATTACAGTTTAAATTATATTAACAATTTTAAATTAGTACTGTTTTTTTTTTTTACTTTTTGATAAAAAATACTTTGGAAGCGTAAGAGACTTCTTTCAAACATATTACAAAATGGTCTTTAAAATAATGCCCTGGCCTTAATAGTGGCAAAAAAAAAAATCTTTATACAGTTTTGATCTTCGTATTTTTGTTTTTATTTTAGGAGAAGATATGTTGATTGTTAGATTTTGTGAGGTTTACCTTATTACGAATTTTAGAAATTATATGCTTTTATATTATACTTACTATGTTTAAGAATAGATATGAACATTTGCATCAAAAGCCGCATTTTTCATTGATACTGTTGTAAGTCACAATTTCATACGGTATGTAGATTAAGTATTCCTCGCAGTATGAAATGAAAGAGCTTTTCGAAACCAAGCATGTCCGAATGATTAAATTGTCATGGAGGTCCTTTACAAAATAAAAAGCTATGCATTTTTATGCATCTATGAGATTGACAAAAATAAAGCACTGTCACTTAGAATGAAACTGGACAGATGACTATTAACTACTAATGACCTTTGCTTGATGAAATGAGTGAATGTTTGTTTTATAATTGAATTCAGTCGGAGATTGAGGAGTGGAGCTCATGGGATGAGGAAGCTCCCACCAGTATCAGAATTGAAGGTGGTAATGGGATAGTTCCACCTCCACAGAATGAAGCTGAAGAAGAAGAGCCAGACTACTTCAAAGACATGGCTCCCACCATCAGGAAAACACAAAAGGTAGGTTCATTATTTGGGGGTTACATCGGCTGCTTGTTCATTGTCATTTCTTTCTTTCTCTCTATCTTCTGTCCTAGTTTTTAATTATTTTTATTCTGTCCTATAGTTTTTATATTTTATGTTTTTACATCATAGTAACTCTCCTTCTCTTGCTTTCTCTCTTAAAAACATAACCTTTTTTACAATTTATTTCTTTAGTTAGGGCAAGTGGAAATGAAAAAAGGGACAAATATTGTTAAAGCAGTGCAGGGGTAGTGCTGACCTTCTCAGTCCCATTTTTGTGTAATATGCAATATCATTCAAACGTTTGGAGTCAGTAAAATTTTTATTTAGCAGGGCTGCAATAAATTGATCAAAAGTGATAATAAAGACATTTTTTGTTTTCAATTAAAGGCACAATATGTAAGATTTTTTTATTAAAATATCCAAAAACCACTAGAACAGTGTTATATATTTTGCTGACTTGTGTACTTACACTATCCCAAATGTTTCGAAGAATGTTTAAATCCAGAGAAATAAGCAATTTTAACTAGTGACACGGACCGTGTCCATTTAATACATTAGCTCATCGATGAACATGATTTCTGCCTGAGTCCCGTCGGATTGCATCGGCTGTGGGGATGAAGACGACAACTCCCATGATTCCATACTCAGTCACGGCGTCTTTGCCTCTTTGTTTGTTTTGAATACGCGCCCTCTAGTTGCAAAAATTACATATTGTGCCTTTAATTTCTATTTCAAATAAATCTGTTCTTTTGAAATTTCTATTCAGCAAAGAAGCCTGAAAAAATGTCTCACAGTTTTCAACATTAATAATAAGAATAATAATTTCTTGAGCACCAAATCAGCATATTAGAATGATTTCTGAAGGATTTCTAAAATAATCATTTCATTTGCAATTTGTGCTCTTTTTCCAGATTGTCTTGAAGAAAAGGGAACCTCTGAATTTCTCTATGTCAGACAGCTCCTCAGGTTTCTCCAGCCGACTAGCTGCCACTCAGAACATGTCCTTCATCCAGCCCTCTGTGAGTGATACAGCCTAACAATGATAATCACAGTTATTGGGAGGCCAATTAACACTTTCAACAAAAAAAGATTTATTGGGAGTCCTCCAACTCCACCAAATCACATCACTTTAATATGTTGGATCAAATGGTACGATGATCAGAAAACACAATGTCTCTGTGTGCTGCAGGCGGAGCTGGGGGACCTTGACACCTGGCAGGAGGACACCAATGCCTGGGAGGATGAGGCAGATGCAGCCTGGGAGGCAGAGGAAGTGCTGAGGTAAGCTACCTTACCAGCTGACTATGAGGTGATCCTGTACAACATAAAAATGTTTCTGGTTCTGTTTGTTTCCCTTGATATCTGCAATATTAAATCACTTAAGTCACTTAAGTTTTTTAAATTAATACAGGGTCAACTCATTTTGAGGGAGAATGTGGTGGGTTTCTAATTTTGTCCACTAGGTGTCAGTGTACAAGCACAGTTGTTTTCAACCTCCACTGCATTGTGCCAGATCTTGATTAAAGGGATAGTTCACCAAAAAAAATGAAAATTCTGTCATCATTTACTCACCCTTATGTCATTCCAAACCTGTGTGCATTTCTTTCTTCTGTGGTACATCAAAGACGATATTTTGAAGAATGTTGATAACAGTTTCAGTTTCCATTGACTACCATTGTGTGGATAAAAAGTACAGTGGAAGTACTGGGAACCGGAAATGCTTGGTTTCTGGTCACTTCAGGTTTGGAATGACAAGAAGGTGAATAAATGATGACAGAATTTTCATTTTTGGGTTTACTTTGATCTATCATATAGCATCATATTTGAAAGGGTATGATTTTTGGGTGTATTTACAGAGCGCATACAATAAAGCAGATTACTGATTTAAATTAAAAATATCTCTTAAAACTTACCATAAATGCGATGAAATTGATCTTTCTTTGTCTATCGTGAACACAGGCAGCAGAAGCTGGCTGAGAGAGCGAGACGTGCCATAGAGCAACAGAGGAAGAAAATGGAGAAAGAGGCACAGAGAATGATGAAAAAAGAGCAGAAGATTGCTGTCAAACTTTCATAACATTAATACAGTGCACCGGACACTCAAAGCAACAGCCAAACAACTGTTCATATTACATTTTACCTGGTTTTGTCCTGCCCACCATACTACTGTCTTCACCTCTTTGGGATATTTTTTAGTCCATCAGCCATATTAGGGATTTTTTACGTTTATTTCTTTGGGTTTTCGTTTTGTATTGGACTGAACACAGCACAAAGAATCTTCCCTTTTGTTTTTGAGGTATTGTGACTGTTCTTACTGTGCGCTTGATGAAAGAAAAAATATGTTTGTTTTTTTCTGTCAGTATTTATAACACTTGAATGATTTGTCCAGAACAAAAAAATTTTTTTGTATACCTGATAATCATGGGCTTAATTGTGAATAATCCTTCAAGACCTTATATTTTGATCTTGATTTTTCCAAAGACAAAAATTTGAGTCAAGGAATTAATAATTGTCCGTCTGAATGGAGATCAGAGATATTCGGTATGTACTGAGGCTCAAAGAAAGCGCTTTTAAGAGATGTGGGTTGGTTGTCATGGAAACGCTGACATTTTTTAAATATCCAAATTGGCAGCCAAACCGTCTTTTATCTTTAGTAAGACTGTTTACTGAGAAGAGCATTGACTAAGAGAAAAACATTCACAATTTATTTTAAAGCAATTTCACCAGGGGAACGACTTGTCTTTTGCTATTAAAGAATTTCTTATCTCTTGAATATAAATTGATCATGTTTATTGATAAAATGAGGATCATGGTGGTGCTGAAATTAACTTCTGCATGCTGTGATTATTAAGGAACATGAAGCCATGAGAGTCACAGGCACAGATAATGAAAGACTGAATAAAATCACACCTTTTGCTGTGATTTATGTTTCCCGCTCATGCCTTTTTAAGTTGTTTTTACCATTTTTCACAGTGCATCCTTAGCTGTAATAAACATTTCAGTTATCTGTTCAATGGTTTATTTTATTCTTAGGCTTTCAGAATCTTCTGTCATTTCTTCACCAAAAACATGCTCTTCGTGCCGTGGTAAAGATGACGTCTGGGTCTCTGAACATAATCAGCAATACAACACTTTATTCGATCTGTTTGTACCCAGACTGTTAAGAAGTTCAGTCAGCATCATAGAGCTGTCTCTGGAATACATGTGCTTTTATTTGTGATATTTAAGGTCAGACGCATTGTCCACCTTATATTTTGATCTTGATTTTTCCAAAGACAAAAATTTGAGTCAAGGAATTAATAATTGTCCGTCTGAATGGAGATCAGAGATATTCGGTATGTACTGAGGCTCAAAGAAAGCGCTTTTAAGAGATGTGGGTTGGTTGTCATGGAAACGCTGACATTTTTTAAATATCCAAATTGGCAGCCAAACCGTCTTTTATCTTTAGTAAGACTGTTTACTGAGAAGAGCATTGACTAAGAGAAAAACATTCACAATTTATTTTAAAGCAATTTCACCAGGGGAACGACTTGTCTTTTGCTATTAAAGAATTTCTTATCTCTTGAATATAAATTGATCATGTTTATTGATAAAATGAGGATCATGGTGGTGCTGAAATTAACTTCTGCATGCTGTGATTATTAAGGAACATGAAGCCATGAGAGTCACAGGCACAGATAATGAAAGACTGAATAAAATCACACCTTTTGCTGTGATTTATGTTTCCCGCTCATGCCTTTTTAAGTTGTTTTTACCATTTTTCACAGTGCATCCTTAGCTGTAATAAACATTTCAGTTATCTGTTCAATGGTTTATTTTATTCTTAGGCTTTCAGAATCTTCTGTCATTTCTTCACCAAAAACGTGCTCTTCGTGCCGTGGTAAAGATGACGTCTTTGGGTCTCTGAACATAATCAGCAATACAACACTTTATTCGATCTGTTTGTACCCAGACTGTTAAGAAGTTCAGTCAGCATCATAGAGCTGTCTCTGGAATACATGTGCTTTTATTTGTGATATTTAAGGTCAGACGCATTGTCCGGACCGGTGGAATATTCCAGCTCTGAGAATGTGATGTCATAATCCCCATCTGCCTCAGCAACGCCCCCCAGTCGACCAACCCTCCCACAGCTTGACCCACTTAGACAGAGAGAGAGGAAAACAAACCATGACTGAATTAAACATTACATGCTGTCTTCTGCAGCTATGCGCATCTTTATCACACCTGACTTTATGGGTTTCACATGAGTTTGTCTCTGTAATGAAGATTCTTGGACCATGTTCAAATTAATAAAATGTATATGTTCATTAAATAAAGTGTATATAAACACTGTTCAAAGATTTTATGCACCAAAAATACATTGAGGGAAAAATGCCTCAACAATATCATATTAACAATTTTACAATACATAGTCTGGAACAAAGCTAAAAGCTAACTGTAGTGTCCAACTGGGCTAACAGTACATAACAGCAAGCATTTGCTCAGTCTTGCCATTTCATGCATGCAGGGTTGTATGTTATGCAATAGTCAAGTCCCATCTGGTAACAGATGTACTGTGTGTTTTTCAGGCGGCCCAGGGGTCCACACTTGCTGTGTAATGGTTGCTTTAGTCTCAGCTTCTGAATATAGCAGTGTTGATGTTCATACACTCCATATATTTTGTATGATATAAAATGTTTTTGGGTTCTTGTGCGTGTGTGTGTTAATGAAGCATTAATGCACTTTCAGCTGTTGCTGCCTACAGGATTTCTCTTAAAACATATTGAAGTTTAAAACCTCTTTGTTTCGTCAGTTACAAGCACTTTTATGTCTTAGAGCAGGAGTGTCAAACTCAGTTCCCTTTTTAGTTTAGAGTTTAGTTCCAACCCTACTCTAACCACACATTGCATGTAGTTTTCAAATAAGAGACTTGATTAGCTGGATCAGGTGTGTTTAATTAGGGTTGAGCTGTGGCCCTCCAGGAACTGAGTTTGACACCCCTTTCTTAGGGTAATTTTTTATTTGGTCATAACTTTATTTATTTATTATATGAAGGTCACATAACCACTGTAGTGTAAACGTCTTACCCTGATTCTTTTTTTTTTCTTTTTTCTTTTTTTTACCTTAAGAGACTTTCAATCTTAAAATATTAAAATCCATCATGGAAAACATTAAAATAAGAAGGTGAAATATCACTTGTTTTCACACTTGAAATATTCTAAACCCCGGATGAATAAATCTTGCTTCACGTTCATGCTTCATGCTCATAATTCACCAGGGGTTAAAAATAATCATAAATTGACGTTTCAGTTAAACGGTTTCACACTACATTCTTAATCCCTGACAATGGGCTATCGTTCTTATTTGCATATTTGTGCTGTCAGTGTCATTGATTGGACGAACGCTCGAAACCTGCTCACATAAAGCATTAGGCCTATATTAGCATTATAGCATTATATCATATATTACCGATTTTTTTCCCCCATAGGTTTTTAACATTCTAAAAGCTCTTTATTCCAAATATACTACAAGCTAGTCAGTGTATTCAGTAGGTGTAATGTATTGTAAGTTGCTTCAGAAGTATTGCAAGTATTACGTACAACAATAAAAGTGCATTGACATAAAAAAGGACATTTACTTTTGGTACTTAAGTACTTTTAAAAGCAAGTACTTCTGTACTTTTACTTAAGTAAAAATCTGTCTTTACAACTTTTACTTGTAATGGAGTAACATTTGACCAGCGGTATCTGTACTTTCACTCAAGTAATGGAGTTGAGTACTTTGTCCGCCTCTGCATTTTAACACCGCGTCGTTTCACATTGCTCAAATTTAGTACCCGCGCGAAGTTAACCCCACTTCTGAATAACAAGTGTGAAATGTTCTGGGTTAAAAGCGGTTTAGGAAGAAGATAAACCGGGGTTAAGCGCAGTGTGAAAAGCCCTGGAATATCTGGTCAGATGATGCAAAATGTGTGCAAATATTATTTGTGTTTCAACATAAAATGCTAGCTATGAAATTAGTTGGACATTTTTTATTTTATTAATACTTAAAATGTAATTTCCATCACAAAATGTTATTAAACACAATGGTGTAAATCAGGGTTGCCCAACCCTGCTCCTGGCGATAGACTGTCCTGCAAAGTTTAGCTCCAACTCTAATCAAGGAGCTGAACTTTGCAGGACAGTCGATCGCCAGGAGCAGGGTTGGGCACCCCTGGTGTAGCTAAATGATCCTGTAGGTATGGCCAGTGGCGGACAAAGTACTCAACTCCATTACTTGAGTAGTGAAGTTAAAGTCATAAGTTCCCAGAAAAAATAATACTCAAGTAAAGTACAGATACTCAAAAAGTGTACTTAAGTACAATACTCAAGTAAATGTACTTAGTTACTGTCCGCCTCTGGGTATGGCATACATTTAACAAAAACTATTTTCTTGGTAAAATAGCCTGTTACTTAATAAACAAGAAGTAGCTGCCCAAAGAAATTTTATCTTGTGAACAGCAAATAATTAAATTGTATTAATCTAGGATTAAAGTTTAAGGATTAAATATTAAAGCTCACTTTACTGACTTAACTCACTTTGCAGCACACATCACAGCATTAAACCTTTTCGTTCACCTTCCATAATGAGTTCATGAAGATTTATTTACATTTATTTAAATGTTTTGCATTTTCTGCACTAATTTAAGGGGCAAATCTGCAGTATCCTTACAAAAAAAAATACTGTTCTCCTTTTGTTAGTTGAAAGCATTATCAAATTACCAAAATGTTTAATAGGCAAACACACAAATGGTGGAGGATTTGTATCACTTTGTAAATGTCATTCATTTAAATTCTTTAGAGCTTTTTGTGGGCACTGATTTAGTGTGGGCCTAGACAAGTAATTAAAGTTTAGAAATTATGCAATACCTTCCCCATGCTCTAACACACAATAAAAGTCCAAACTTGGAGGGTTTTCCATGCTTTAATAATAATAAATATAATGATTATACATCTGATATAAACAAAAATATTGCACATAGGTCAGGCACATAACAAGTGTTCGCTGTACTGTGGCAAGTGCTGCCATTCAGGAAAATGTTAGTTTACAGAGCAACATGTAAAAGCTCTAACTCCAGGGAGAGAAATACAGTTTCACTTAACAAAACGCTGAACACATGTAAGCTTTGGCAGAAGGTTTTAGTTCTTTTGGAACACATGTGACATTTTAACTACCACAAAAATGACGGCCAACTGACAGTCAACCCCTATTGTCACACTAAATTACTCTTTTATAAAAAGCAGGGAATAGCAGTCAGCAAAGAACAAGACTCGAGCAACATAATCACCTACCCAGATGATCAGATTATGCAAAAATATTTATATATACATAAACATAAAAGCAATAAATAACAAAAAAGACAAATCAAGTCCATTTATATCCCCTTAAATTCATCCTTTGTGCCTCAGATTGCAAAAATACACAGTGCAAAGTAGGAATGTCGCAACTAAACATTAAATAAGTGTATGCGTATAATCACAGGTGTACAAAAACACAATTTCTACTTGAAGATGGCGTTTAAGTGCTCTTGTTGTAACTGTGGGTGAGGGCCACTAAGTGTCTGGCCCGTGAGAGACATGGCGGAGTGAGTGCAATCCCATAATGCAACAGCCTCGAATTAAAGCTGCAATGTTGTACACGGGAGCCCCTCCGACCAAACCGTGCTGCGAGTAGAGCCACGCCACGGTGGGCAGAACAGGTGCTGCCACAGCAACCAGATCAACCAAGAAGTTGTTGCTCCAGTGGCTTTTTCCCACCACTGCCATGCTAGAGGTGTTCTTGGGATTCTTCAGGTCGAAATTCAGCTCTTCCATGAACTGGGGACTCATTTGGGGCTCGGAAAAGCCCAGACCGGAATCACTAACAGTGTTTTGGGCAGTATTGGTGCAAATGGGGCCAACATCTTTGACTTCATCGTCTTGTGCTTCAGGAAAATTCCCCTTATTTATGGGTTTTTGTGCTTCAGGCAAGTCCTCGACCTTTTTGGGAACCTGTGCTGAAGGTGATTCCTGGGATTGGTGGGGTGAAGAAATAAGAAGGCCAGGGAAGCCACCACCTTGGAGCTTTAGCAGCTGGAAAAGGACGGCTTGGAGATCAGCCGTGTAAATCATCTCATCAGTCTGGACACTTTTATCTTCTGCACCAAAGGGGTCGGTTGAGATATGTCCCTCTGTGCTCTTTTCCGAGACACTCGGCTCCAAGGTGGACAGTCCTGGTTGGGGAATGATCTTGGTGCCACCATCCTGGGTGGAATCAACTGCAGTGGATGTGAGAACCTGCTCCAGAATCTCTGCTCTGTTGGCCATCTCATCATTGGCCAGCAGCTCGCTATCAGCCATCTCCTCCACTGCTTGTTCTTCACCATGTAGCTCCATCTCCAACTTGCCTGCAGCGGATCTTTCTGGAGACTCACAGATAAACTCCAGCATTGGCTCATCCTGCAAGTTGCAGCCATTCTGCGCCAACTCCATGCTGTGGAGCAAGGACTCCAGCTTTCGGTTTTGGATGTTTATGTCAATGAAATACTTCTGGATGCCCTTGTCCTTCTCCATGAGGCTGTTCTTCATGGTTTCTACCACTTGCCGCAGCTGCTTGATCTCTTTGCGTGCTTCTTTAAGTGCTAGCTGAGCTTCCACACGGTGACATTCCTCCTCTATCCAGTCCTCCCGCATATGCCCCAGTTGGGACTTCAGCTCCTCAATCTCAGCCTCCCTGTAACCCATCAATGTGGAAAATGTACCATGTGATATCAGTTTTCGAATTTTGTCAGAGCTCTCGAGGGAACAGCAATTCAGTAATGCATTAGGGCAAGTATTTCAAAGCAGACTCTTACCGGTCACAAACTGTGTTCTGTGAGTCTCTGAGTTTTGTCTTGAGGTGTCGTATGGCTACCTCTTTCTGCTGTAGAGGGGTGAGGTACTGCTCTGGATTGGGAGGCTTGATGCCATGATTGTCTCCGCAGGAATGGTAGCGTACAGGAGTGGTTCTTCTGAAAGTAAAAAGCAAGTTTAC